CTGCGTCTGCACGTACACGGGTGATTTTGAAAACGCAGCTGTTTTGTCCACACGTAAATGGCGTTTGGAATCACCGAAAACGGAGATTTTTTAAAACTCCTTTTGGGGATTTATGTGTGGATGAGGAATACAGAGTTCATCGCAATGTTAAAGGTGCCTTCTTCCACATCACGCTGTGCGCCACGTTATTGTTTACATGAGATGAATTGCAGAATGGCAGATAGTCAGATTAACAGTATTTTGTCTCTATCTTCAGGTTTTACACGCTTACATTTACACATGCAGTTACTGTCCCTCTATTTAGAAAGGCAGAGGCGTCACAGTGTAATTATTTTACATGTAGTTGTTTTTTTTTCCCTGTGTAATAATATTCAACATTGCTATCAATACATTTTTCAAAAAATGCCTCTCTGTGCAAAATGGGTTTAAAAACATAAACAACTGTGGGATGCTGTTTGTCCTTGGTTTGGACAGGGGGAACAAATCCTGGCAGGATCAGCCTGATATCATTTGTATCCCACTGTAACTTTACTGTATAAAGAGCTAATATCTCCAAAATGTCAGGAGTAGTTATTTATTACAACAAGTGTTTGTGAACTAAAAATCAAGAATGTGGGATAATGTTTGTCCGTGATTTGAAGAGCCCAGCACATGCTCTCGATGCAGGGAAAACCAATTCTGCAGGGGAGATCTACCTTGGCACTTGTGCAGGTGAAGCCAAAGGGAAGATATGCTTCACCATATTTTCTAGTCTTTGGCTTAGAATGAAGTTGGTTTGGAAACATATTCAGGTCCTGCTTTGCATTTGTGTGGGCGCCCCGTGCTAGCCTGTCCAAGCCCCCCCCTGCAATGGCTCTGCGCCCCCCTAGGGGGCGGGCCCCACACTTTGGGAAGGTCTGGTCTAAGCAAACATCTGTGGGATCAAAACTCTTTGTTCAAACTTTTTTTTTGTTGTTGACTGGATCTGTTTGCTGTGTCTAAGTAAATGAAGTGAATGTAAAATCAGCTTTGTGAAGTTCCTAAAAGGCTCAACTCTTATCATCTAATTACTTTTTCTGTATATTCTTTTCCGGTTCATGTCCTTACTGTCATGTTAACTTTTCCCACCTCCAACTGTGCTCTCAAGAAGTCCAACAGGTTTTGAGAGATTTCACAATTGCACTCAATCTTGCAGTGAGTCAGAGGGTGAACATCTGCCAAAACGAGGTGGCCCGGAGCTATGCGGACCAGTTTACTGTTGTAGACGAAAAGCGGTTCTTTTGATGAATAAGAGGTGAGCCTATCCGAACGTGTTGTATACACGTTCGGATAGGCTCATGAGCCCCTTGATCCATGTTTCCCTCTGGGTAGTTTGACACATAGGGACACATGTTTTAAAAGGCTTAAGTGGAATTACCATGTCATCCTTTGAGTCAAAAGCTATGACTGTGTGATATCTGTGATTACTTTAGTCATCTTCACCATGCTGAAGTGACAGATAGGAAATGTAAAGCTTCAGAAAATTACAGTATTTTTTTTAACCCTTCTGACAAGATAGAAGATCAAATACAAGATAAACCTATAGCAAAACGTGTCAGTGTTTGGTAGGTGTTAGGACTACCAATAAGATGTGCTGTTGTCTGTTTAGCCAGCTGCCA